ATTTTCAGAGGGTATGAGTGGTGGGTGTGGATGTAGTGTAAGATAATGCCAACATCCACATCCGCCCATAGCCACACCTACACCCACACCACACGCACAGAAATATACAATATGTTGAGGCCAATCACGTTTTCATTTAAATAATAAGAACAAAATAGGTATATATACATATATATATACATCAGTTGCAGAGAGAACAAGAATCTACTCGGACGTGCCTCAAAGAACATATAAAAGAAAAGAAAACAGAGAAAGCTTGACGTCATTCTACGATAGCAGAAAGTTAAAAAAAAGAACCCATGAGCTCGGAATGAATGATCTTTGTGACCTTTTATATGAAAAACTGCACTCTACCTTATTCATCAAATGCGACCATTCGATCAAAATATTTCTCAGAGATATCATGCTTGAACGACTTTAATAATAGGAACTATCTTCTTCAGAGCGGCAGTTCTTTCTCGATAAGTGTTAGCAAACTGATTCATGTATTAAGTCATTAAATGATATACTAATTGTCTGAAATATCAAAGGACAACCAGTAAACATCAATAAGTACAAATGATCTTAACCGCACGAATATTCCAAAGCACAAATATTCATACAATCCATAGCATTAAATAAACAATAAATCATATTTTTAAAAGTGTTGAGTGCACAAAATCTCAGGACGGGAATTTTCGTCACCCGAATCCAATGGGTTAAACGTGTGTAACAATTATTCACATACATTGCTTATAAATAAGAAATTTATACTGTCAAGTTTATCATGTACAAACATCGAGTATATATTTCAAACCCCGCCTCGCTTCGCCCCGACGTAGTTTCTCCCCGTCCCGCATCGCCCCGTCGAAATTTTTCTCGCTTCGCCCCGTCTGTTTTCACCCCGTCAAAATTTTCCTCGCCTCGCCCCGTTTCGGTCTCTGGTATGAACGGCCATTAAACAACTATTTGAGCACAAAGCATTAGCATGCATTAAGTTTTATGAAAAATAATCCGTTTAAATGCATTGAAAGGACGAAGAATTTTCATGAAGTTTAATGCATCATTTTTCTTAAAAAATTAATACATGTTTATCGATCGTGCTCAAACGATTGTTCAATGACTGCTACTGCATAGAAAAATTCATTGATTAGACGATATTAGGATATTAATCCGCGAACAATATGTTAGAGTTCATGAAATCAGTTGTATTATTATATAATTATATCCATTATTTATCAATTATAACATCCATTATTTCTCAGTATTTCACGAAAATTGGCTACATGAGTGATGACATTCAAATGGTAGATTAGAATACAATTTTATCTGGAAGAGACACAAACGCTTTTAATTGTTCTTCATCTTCATCTTCATCATCACCATTGTCTTGTTTCATGTCGTCGTCGCTCAAAGAGAATGGTACATTCGGAGCAGTTTGCACTGGACCATCATCATTGTCTGGATGAAAAGCTTGAAGATCAGCAGCCTTGTCAAACGAAAATCTTTCTAACGAGCAGAATTCAAGTTTCGAATAATGAAGAAAGTCAGGCGTCAATTGACTAACTAAGAAAAAATGAAGTAAGACAAAACTTCGGTAGAAATTGAAGCACAAAGCAGTTCCTATTTACCTTCATACGTTGCTTTCTTGAGCAATTTTGTAATGAAATCTATTTCAATAACACGCAGGTGATCGGCGAGTGTTGAATGTCCAAGGCACATTTTGATCTAAAATTGATTGCACAGCAGAGGTGACCGTGATTATTTTCACACTTTTATTCTCTTCTTCTCTTCCATACGAGAGAAAACTAAGCTAAGTGCATTCAGCTCCTTTCGAACGATGGTATCGATTTCGAATAACTTTTTTTTTTCTGTTGTTTCTTTTTGAGGTATCAAGGGATATTTATTGGTTGTACAAAAGGCAATCAACAGAAATAATTTCCGGTATTCTAATATTTTTAAGGTAATTTTTCAACTTATGATTTCAATCTCGATAAATTCGAATTGGAAAGAATTGTTTCCGAGCTGAACAACTTTTTAATACAAATTCATTTGCTGTTAAATAGAGTGAATTACTTACATTCATTGCAATGTTAGAATGACCAGCGTGTGACACAACGAATCCCAACATTTGTTCTTCAAATTTATTCCCACTTTCGCCTCGTAAGACACCAGCAGGAGTATTTTTACTGTCTTTTAATTGAATACCATACGTATTTAACAAATGAGATCGTCCATATTTTGAATAAATGTGGTGAGCAAATTCGTGTAAATATTTTATTCCGATCATAACTCCATAAACAGATTGCATTTGTTTGGTGGTTTTTGCAGCTTGTTCAATCAACTATGGAGAGAAAAGATCAAAGAGACTAAGCGCTAAGTACTTATGCAGCAAGATTTACTTGTAAATTGATGATTATATGATGTTCGCCTTCATCGCCTGGAATGTATAAACCATAAGCACTGTTAGTAGATGATTCTCTGGTATGAAGCATTTGACGGACTTGTCTATTTTCCTTGAAGGTCATACCAGGCCAGTTTTCAACATTGTGCAATATAGTGAGAATCTCTTGTTGTTTATCGTCCGTCAAAATCTAAAACGACGATTCGTATTGAGCGTGAGTGAAAGAAAAGACTCACCATTTCATTCTCGAACAGAATGTTGTGTTTCGGAAAAAAATGATCTTTTAGGCAAAATGCCACGCAATCACATCGTAGAAGAATGTTTTCGACGATGGATAGACCAACATGGAGCGCAAAAGAATTTCTAATCAAATCCACATCGTTACTATGTTTATAATCGATTTTAAGTGAAATATATTGATGATGCAACGGTATAGTGATTGAGCATTCTTCAAGATCCTTCAAAATTTCATCATAAGGTCGATTGTCGACGTCAATATGATCTTCAGATGAGTTTCGACGTGACATTCTACAAGACAGAAACGGTTATATGTTTGCGACGAAATACCAATGTCAAAAAGTGACTTATGTGATCACTTTTTACCTGTACTTTTCATTTATAATTGAGTCGTATCTGTAGATTCTTTTTTCAAGTGAGATCGTTCATAGATGATGGATCAAACAATGTTTGATAATTGATCAGTTTAAAAAAAATCATTGTACGATCACGCTACGTTGTAGAGAGCAGTACGCTCATTGATTGGTGAGTGCCTTTCTCGAGTTATATATGGCTTAGGTCATAATATAGAGGGGGCACATAATTAGTGAATAAGACCATATAAACAATAGATACATTGTTCAACTTCATCGATGACTTTGGACAT